CAGATAACTGGAAGCTACTACCACACAGAAGAGAAAGCCAAGACCTGTCGGTTTATGGAAAACTCGCTCTTCAAGACACCTCCTGAAATATCAGAAGACAAGTTCAAACATCTGCAAGACCCAAATCAGTTATTGAAAAGATCATCATCACTTTTAACGATACTCTTCCTAAAATCAACAAAAAATAATACTTTCGGTGGTGTTCGTAAAAAATATCATACACTGATACTACATGTCGAAGTTTGTTTATTTAAAATAAAGATAATACAAATCACTTCACCGTTTATATGACTCTTTTTCCCCTAATAACACCAAATTAAGGTGTATAGTACTATGACATGCCATACACAATATTTGAAATTCCTGCTATGTACCGGTTCAATCATTTATAATTTCTCTAAGTGCGCGTTTGTAATATTTTTTTTATTTAGTTTAATGTTTTGTACTGATTTAAGGAATCAATTTCACCTTAATATCAATATCAACCTTAGTTTGGCAAAAAAACAATTACTAATTTAATACAATATAAAATAGCGTTATTTAACTGTTTTTTGTGTCTCCTGTAAAATTAGGATATTTTCACATTGGAGATATTTCATTCCTAACGACGAAATATTTTTGAGAATGATGGAAGAAGGCTACTACTTAATGAATAAAGGATAGAAATTCTTATTTCAAAGAAAATTTATAAAATTAAAATATAATTTTAAATATTACTTCACAACCCATTGCATAGATAATGTATGTAAAAATACATACCATGATTACTGCTTTGACTTCCCTTATTAGTATATTCTTGTTTTATATTATCAAAATCATAGGACTGATTATGCTCATCATTTTCCCTTGTCCAGAATTCTCAGCTCTTGCAAAGACCTATTCCATCCATTTTCTCCAAACATTAATGTTTTCAAAAGGCAACTTAAGAGTCTAATTTGATATTTGTTTGATTTGATATACTGTTTTAATGTACAAATTTTTACTGTTTCTTTGTTATTGTTTTGATGTTTATTGTACATAATCTTTCCGTTTTACTATTTGTTGTATTTTATTGTAAATGGTTCTACCATTGAAATAAATAAATAAACTAAACATAAACTCAAATGTTTGTTTGGTTTGGTGGTAATAATAGATATTTAGGCAACAATATTTTTACATGTCATTTACTACTTAGTGAATAAAGGATAGAAATTCTTATTTCAAAGAAAATTTATAAAATTAAAATATAATTTTAAATATTACTTCACAACCCTTTGTATAGATAATGTATGTAAAAATACATACCATGATTACTGCTTTGACTTCCCTTATTAGATGAATAATTCTTGTTTTATATTATCAAAATCACTATTAGAATATTGGAATCCTACTAAATCATCTTCCTTCTGTTCTAATGTCATATTTTCACTTGATTTTTCTGTTTTATTTTGATCCAAACTAATCTTAGAACCTCCATGTCCATAGTCTTCAATATAAGTATCTTGATAAACTGGAGCAGGTTCCTTTTTTATGAATTCACACTTGACAAAAATACTATTCTCAAACTTAATATTTGTTACTATATCTTCATTTTCCTCTTTTCTTTCCATTCTACCTTCCAGCCTTATAACTTTCTTTAATGGTTCGTCTGTGTGTTTTGAATATTGGCTGTGCAAGAAAATCGTTGGATGTGCTTGTCCAAATAAGGTCTTCCTTGTGTTTCCTTTGGACAAGTACACTGGTTTAAAATGTTTCTCACACATTTTATAATTAGTGTGCAATTCAGCATGCTTGGAAAGCAGATCTTCCCTGTTGGCTGATTTCAACCATAATTCAGCTCTAAAAAAAAGTGTATTAACTAAATATAAAACATTTAGACAACATTTGTAACACGTTTGAATTTAAAATTAATTTGTTTACCTGCTTACGATCAGTCGGTATTGAAAATAGAGCTAATTCTTCACCAGTTTTCGATGGGCACCCACGAACTACACAATAAAATCCTCCCTTTCGTGCAGCCATCACAATAAGTTTAAGTTTATTACAAAATAACTATACCAAAGATTTTTATATTAAAAAATAAACACTGATAAACACCAAACACTCCTCGGGATGGCGGATGGAGTATTCTCAATGACGATGACGTGTATAATATATTATACGTCATTGAGTACTATGATTGAGTATTCTGTTTCTGTATGACATTCTGTGACCTGTGTCAATAATGTCAATACATAAACAAACAAGACAGCAAAACCAGAGAACTACGAACGCAGAGAAGAGACACTCCTTTGATCTTGCGTGGGCAAGCGCCAGCGAGTGAAAATGACAGGAAAGCACCTTATTTTTAATAGTCAGTGGGCATAATACACAATATAAATTCTTAATAAAATTTGAGCATTTATGGTTGTACTTTCAATACATATGAAATATTGCACTGAAAAATAATTACATGCAGGGCCGGCTTTTGTGACTTCTAAATTGGTGTAATTATTTTTGATTTACAAATGGTTGCAAATACATCCGCACAACTGCAAAGTAATGGTGAAAAATCGTATTGATGGAACCTAGATGAAAATACTTTTTTGTTTATTCTGATGTTGACGTTGATAATACAATAATACACCGATTCTTTTTTGGCTTGTGTTGATACAAGATATAATTTGTCGTCGTGGAATTTACCTAATAAATTATCTTTACTAATATAATAATCTGATAAAAAAACCAAACGCCAAAGTATAACTGCCACGGACATTTAACAAACTCTAGAAAATGTCCAAATCACAATTGGGTGAGCCTGAGAAATACATAATGATAACTTGATTATATGTTATTCATGCGATTGTGTAAATGGACGTGGATAACCAAATTAAAATTAACGTAATTTTTCTGTTTTGCTTAAAAGTCGAATTATGTGGTAGTAAACGATATCTACGTACTAAAAACGAAGTAAAAAACTCAAGAAGTAACTATTGAATCGAGTATATTTCTATTAAATAGTAAAAATGTTAATAACCTAAAAAAATAATCAAAATAAGATATTATGATATCATTTACAGAAGAAAGCAAATAGGAATGATAAATACGAAATTATATATAAGTTGTCATTACACATGATTACGGTGATTATACCTAGTGAAATCCAGAACTTTCAGTTAAACTATATATAGGATACAATATAATTTAGTTTTACAAATCGATTCAGTGTTAATCACATACGCGAATTTTTAGTTGATTTGGTCTTGCCATTAAAATTATTTGTAGTATCTAGTTTGCCTAAGCCGGGATTTAGTAAACACTTATATTTCTGGTTATTGATGTTAACTTGCGGTTAGTACAATTCATATATCTTAAAAGTCCTAACGAGCTTTAGTAATACAAAATTCATTACTTACAACTATAAGAGTATAAGTATAATTCTAAGTGTATTTGTAAGTTAAAGAAGTATTTAACTTTTGTCAATATCTCATCTTAATAAATTTTAACAGTTTTCATCCTAATTAAGATCCTCACAATAATTGTCACACTAAATATTGAGAATATACAATTAAATAAGTCATTAATAATTTTTTTATTTGTAAATTCCCATTTAAATATTTATACCCGATAATATGTTGTGTTACTCCCGATCCATATACTTTGATACTTTGTTTATTTAAAATTTAAACGAAATTAAACATTGACACTTCAGACTGACACTATGTATAGCAGTTGTATATAGCAAAAAGTAGACTGGAGCATTTAGTTTTTGCATATATTTAATGTAAGTTTGTTTGGATCGAAAATAGACAGCAAATAATTTGAAGTATGTTAATGCTCCACCCCGACAGGCGACGTAGAGAGCAGAGAGAGTGTAGTGGATACCCCACCCTCCGCCCCCCCCCTTTCCCCCCCCCCCCCCCCGACTTTTGAAGTCTTGTTCTGTTATAATTTTTAAGACTTTTCCCAACTTTTCACGACTCTAAATTATGTTTCCAACAAATTTTTATAAGTTTGAGCATTTTAGGAATTTCTTTGTTTCGTTTAAAATCAAAATTATCATCCCGTGTATAAAAACCCCTCTATATATTTTTATTATTCCTAAAAATACATATAATTGCGGATTGGTCTGTCCTGCGGAGCGCTTTCACACCAGTAGGACCCAACATTCCTGTGTTGATTTTTGACCCGAGCCGCAATCGGAGACACAATAAATTTAATGTGTGTTTCGACAGTGTTCTTCCTGGTTTTATATCTGAAAACTATCCCTTTGGCAGACCAAAATTATATTTTTTATTGCTTCACTAAACGAAGGCTCTGGGGGGGCGGACACGTCGGTGTTGGCTTACCCCAAAGTCAAATTAATCCTATTATGTAATTTACCTACATAGATTAATACGAAAGTCAATAGTAATTCCCAGTTATATGTTCTTAGGTAACATCTCACAGGATCCAATATTCTGTATGTCAAACGTTAGATTGTGAAACATCCGTCAGAAACGCACAACACAATAACCCGAAGACATTTTATAATACGTATAAATTAAACTTTTAACTTTTATAAAACTATAACTATAAACTCTATATATTGTAAACTTTATATACTTTTAAACTATTAACAATAAACTTTTTAGAACTACGTAAATAATTAGAGTAAATGATACATAATGCACATTGTAGTAGGTCCGTACGAGTGTTTAACACACAGATTGCCCTACGGACTATCGTAAGCAACTTTAAAGTTGAAGAATAACGGCCTACGTGTTTTTGACAGTAATAAGAACACCTTATTTGGGTCATGCGATATACAACGAAAGATACACGAATTCCGGGCCTCAGAGTCGCTTTCTCTGTGTTGTCTTAATGTTTCTCTGAGACATAAAACTAATTTAAACATGCAGATTCGCATATGCGCAAAGAAATTTGGATTGCGAAAAAAAAAGCCCTCCGTTTTGATTAATTGTTGGGATGATGGTATATTCTGACTATTCTGTGCTTTTGCAAAAATTATTATTGAAGTACATAAAATCAAGTGCAATAAAATGGAAGTAAAACAAGAAAATAGCGGGGAATCGTGTAAAATGGAAATAGAGTATAATGACTTGGATAATGCTCTCTTAGATGGCTTTAAATGTGAAATTAAGGAGGCATCCATAGGTCAAAGTTACAACATGGACACATATTGAATTATAACTAGACTTAAAGGAACATCCACTAAATCCTCAAATAAAAATTAAAGAGAACAGACATAGTGAATAAAAAAACGTAACATCATTTGAAAGGACATACACCAAAAAAACTGAAGAACAAGGTCTGTTAACAAAACTATTATCGTAGATGTCTCTCACAAGATATAGAAGTGGTAAAATTCAGGAATAAACTTTTACCAGCTAATATAATTTTGACCGTAAATACAATTTAAGGGCATAAGTGACAATTACAAATTAAAAACTTTGTTTAAATGAAATTTTGTTAACATAAAGTCAACTTCAGTAACAGCTAAGTCCCGTTCCAACAGTTCCTTAAATAGATCGATGATGTCCAAATCGAAAACGAGCGAACTTTAATATCATTTCTTCTTTTTTCACAACAATGCTAAAGCAATTTCTTAAGCTTTAAAAACATTTTTTTTCTTTTTGAATAGGTAATTACCATTTCTTGAATTCTCATGCCAGTCTATTACATCTTCGACATCTTCTACTTCATGACAGGTCTTGGTCTACCTCATTTTATCTCTAGTGGGTGCGTAGTCCATTTTTCTAGTCTCTCTTGGTCCAACCTATTTTCAGGCATTCTCTTTGCAGTTGTATCATAACCAGTTTAGTCTTTTGGATTTGATAGTATCTATTATGTCTAGGTTGAATTACCATTTCTCATCCTAATGTCTACCATCTCCTCACCCTATCAAATCTGCTTTTTTCTGTAAGAGATGGAATAGGCCGAACATGGGGGCAAAGCAAATCTATATAAAAAAATGCATTATCATGGAGGATGAAGAAAAGATATACAGTGCTACGGCCAAAATAACATAAGTTTTTGAAAGTTCATGGGTGTAGAAGTGTGTTTTTTAAATATGCAAAATTTGTTAATTCTTATGTATATATCGTACTCCAAAGTCTTGTGTGCAGGAATTTTTAGATATTCTAGAAAATGTTTTAATGTATATTTCAGGTGAGAGCTCTCTAGTTTTTATTGCAGGTGATTTTAATATAGATTTGAGGAGTTAAACTAAAGATAGAACAGATATTCTGTACTTATTACAAACATTTAATATATTGCCATCAGTTTCTGAATATACTCGCATATGTTAGAGCTACAAAGAATGTATTGATAACATTTATTACAAACTGTGAACTTTATGTAGCAGAGTATTAGATACTCATATTTCTGATATCCTTGGTCAAAAAATAACTTTCAGTTATTAATGTAAACAAAAAGAAAATATAAAAATTACTAAAAGAATTTTGATTCCCCAGTAAAAAAAATTTTAGGCAAATGCCTGCAAGATGAAGACTGGGAGGAGCTTTTTTTCGTATCAAATTGGGATGTAGAAAAGCAGTGGGTTGTATTTATGAAAATAATTTCTTTGTTATTTGACCAATGCTTTTCAGAAAAAAAATATAAATAAACATAAAAAATTGTATCAAATACTATAATACAAATGAAATAAATCAATATAATATTTGCTTAGACCTTTGCTAATGTTAAGTAGAGTAGATGACCATTACACAGATGAGTACAAACAAACAAAACGTCAGTATAATAAAGTGCTTGTGGATTCACTAAAAATGCAGTATGGGCAAAAAATATATAATAGTCAAAATAAGTTAAAAAGTCTATGGAAAACTGTTGAAGAAATCACACAGGTAAATTCTATCGATAATAACGGTTGTCTGATCTTATCGAAGGCTTTGTTGTAATCCAAGAAACACATATATACTCGCTGATTAACATCCATGCATCTTTGCACAAGTACTTTCACAACGAACAGGGCTTCGCACGTTCCCAGTGAATTTCTAAATCCAAATTGTGTGTCATTTATGTCCTGCTCAAGTTTGTTGTGTATTCTACGGTGTATAATTTTTAGAAATATTTTGAGATATTTAAAAATATTTTTAAAACTCATTAAACTTATTATCCGGTGCTGTTTGCATTCTTTTGCATTTGGTTTTTTTTTTGGTAGTGTTATGACATCATAACATGTTGACTGTGACTGTGTTGACATCAGCCAATCTCTGGAAATCATTCCTGTACTGTATATTGTATTGAATAAGTCGACCAATATTCCAATTTGCTGTTCTGCTATTAACTGTATTATGTCTTCTACAGGTAATTCGTCAGGACCTGTTGCCTATTTGTTCTTTGTTCGCTTTATCGCCTCTAATACCTCATCTTTTGTTATGAACTGGGCTGTTGTCGAACTTTTCCTATTCTAGTACTAACTCATAGCGTGACTTGCTCTTTTGTTGATGGATCTCTCAAACGGAATACTTATAACCTCTCTACTTTAGTTTTAGTCACAAGCATTTTTAGATAAATTCTAAACCTTCCTACAACTGGGTTGTGATATGATCTCACATCAGCTCCGGGGTATGATTTTACTGATTTTATGGAATTTCGGTATCGTTTGCAGATGAGAAGGTAGTCAATTTGGTTTCTGATGACGTTATGTTGGTTGTCTGCTGGAGATTTCCATGTATAGAGTCTCCTGGGCGGCAGATCACAATAAGTATTCGCGACAATAAAATCGGTTTCTTGGCAGAATTGTGCCAATCTGTCTTCTCTCTCGTTACGGGTGCCCAGTCCAAAGTTTCCAATAAAATCACCTTGACTTTCTCTACCAATTTTTGCATTTAGATCTCCCATGACTATTGTAAGGTCTGTAGACTTGTTTACTTCTAAAGTTTGTTGTAATTCATTATAAAACTGTTCGAGCTCTTCATCCGACTTTTCTGCTGTGGGAGCGTATACTTGAATTATATTGATTCTAGATTGAGCTGTTTTTAGTGTTACCATCATAACTCTATCCTAGATGGGTAACAAGCCAGTTACAAATTTCTGGGTAGTTTTGTCAACTAGTATCGCTACTTCGTTCCAGTGATTTGCGTTACCAGAGTAGTATATCTTTGTTTAGCCTACTGATCTTCTTCGCGTGCCATATCAGATTTATCCGACTTTAGCGATCACCATTGCGAAGGCTTCTCGATCTTCTGCAATATGGAATAATTGTCCTGCATTTGGTATACTGATATGTCACCTAAATTGGGCCATCTGGTCTCACTTAGTCCTAATATTTATATGTCAAGTCTTTCCATTTCCTGAATGACATTGTGGACTTTTTTGTTCGTCCGCCTTCGAGGCCGATTTCTCAAACCCCAGGACAAAAGAGTGCCCTACAACTTACTAACTCATCCGCCCGAAGCCGTTGGTCGGTAAGTGGGAGGTTGCTTATACCGGCAATCACTCGGTGAAATTCTTGCCATATCTGGCTACCCTCACTTAGTTTAGCCTGCAGACCAATGCAGTTGCCCGGGGTGTGGCACCTGGAACCATAAGTGATAGTTAGTTGTCTTATGAGGACTAGTTATCAAGAACCATCTCTCGTTTATGACGCTTGATGTGATCGTTCCGATAAAAGGTGCTACCTCTATAACACAACTCTATACCTCAAATTGGCAATATAAACGCAAAATAACTGCTTGTTCCAATATATTGAAATGATTTCAATATGTTAAAAAAATATATACAACTTAAATAGATTTTTATATGAGTTTGGTTTGTTCATGAATTTCATGAAGCCATCACAATGTGGGTTCGACTCTGAAATAAAAGAGAGAAAAGGATTAGTAAATTGTTAAATAAATTAATTTTGGACTTACCTGGTATAGTGTTAATAATTTCTGAATAGTATAGTTGCCTAGTGTAAAGGTGAATCGTCCTAAACTTTAAAAAGAAAAAAAAGAAGAATTCTTAAAAAATATTTAAACATAGAAATTTTAAAAACGTCAGAAATAAAACTGTCAAGCAAGTCGTGTGGGAGCTAAATTAATAGGGGTTTTGTTAAATAAGAAATTACAATGATGTGGAGATGAAAGAATAAATTATATTAACAGACTAAGTTTTATATCTGAACATTTTTTTTTATAAATTCCCAAATTAGATGTAATTAAAGTGATTATGAGAAAGTAATGTGGCTTGACAAATATGTTAAACAGGACAGTTTTATGGTTTAAAATATTTAAATAGAAGACAGAAAAAAAATGAACGTTGGTTTGCTGCTAGCAACGGATAATAATTGGTTTTGGGGAAGGCCGACGAGGATTTTCGACGAAGAGGAACCCTGAACTGTGGAATAGGTCGGGAGTGTTTTTTAACTCGTCCAATTAGAATTTAGTTTTTCCACAGTTTCCACAGCAGAGATATCCAGAATTTGTTCCAGAGAGTAAGAGAAACAATTTCACTTATAAATTATATTGGAGTATAGAAATGTCATTTAAATTGAGAAAATTAAAAATTCATGAATTTAACATAATTGCGATAGGCCTTAAAAATTGAAAATATTAATCATCATTAAATTAAAAATAGAATAGTACGTACCTTAACTCCGAAGAGAGTGTTATTCCAGTTTCACCGATTATTTTTGAGTAGTTAGTTTCCTTTAAAGAAATCAGAACTGTTTTATAAGAGAGGTTGGACAATAATTTTGGGGATCATTTGAAATTTTGATTATATTTGAATGCAAGTTTAAAGTCAGCGGAGTAAAGTGTTCAGTTTCTTTTTCTTTATAGTTCATTTAAACAATTTTATAAAGTTGCAATATTTATTTAGTTTTTAGGTACCTGTAGAGAGTCTCCACATTTTGTAATACATTTTTATTGTCACGTCACTAAACCACGTTAAGATTTAAACGATTCCTATTTTTGTAAATTTTTAAAGGCAACCGAAGTTGCAGACGAATTTTATTGTTTATATTAAATTTTGTTCAATATTAATAAAATAAGGTGCTTCATTTGGGTTAATTTATCAACAAGTCTAATAAGTAAATTTTGGTTTTAATTTCTTTTTGAACTCTACCAGGAGGACTACAGAGTCGACGTCACACAGTGACAGATTGCTTAGAATACATAATTGAGCTAGCTGAGGTATATTAAATTAAACAACGAAAATTACAACATTTATTATAAATAATAAATAAAATTAATAAAAATACAACTTTTTCAATATAGTTGTTAGGGGCTCGTATATCAAAACCGTACAATACCGCATAACAGTAAACGGCAAATTATATGAAGCTTTTCCCGCTTTTTCGAATTTTAACATTGCGAATACAGAGCTGGCGTTTCTTCACTATCTTGGGCTAATATATTTTCAAGTAAATATTTTTTACAAACTACATAGCTACAATTCAGTACAAATCTTAAGAAAAGAAAAATTAGAAATGTTATTTTTCAAAAGAAACAAAAGTGCTTTAATTTTTTGGAGTGGTGTGTAAAACACGAATATCTAATTTTTTATTATTAAAATTTGTACAACCCAGCTTAGATCTTTTTTTTCCGCAATCATACATTATAAATTTTCATTTAATTACATCATTCTGATTTAACAGGTAATTCTAATTTTAGGTTTCACTTGTAGACGTATCAAAACTGATGCCAGTAGCTTATTAACAAATTATGATAGGAGTGACAGTAATTTGAACCAATTAATTACTTCCTGTACCAATATGAACACTTTAGGACAGCGTTTTATATGTGTCATTGGCAAGAAACCATCGTCAAACAACTATCGTTTAGTCAGACTATATACGAGGAAACACACTGAAGCAAAACCTGTTGCATGTGAAATTTGCAACAAACAGTTTCCAACGAAACGACATTTAAAACAACATATGACAATGTATATTGATGAAAAACATTTTCGTGCGGCAATGAATAGTAATGAAAAACCATTTAAATGTGCAATTTGCACCAAAAAATTTTCAAGAAATAGTAATTTACTATCTCATATGAAAATGCACACTGGTGAAAAAACATTTAAATGTAAATTGTGCAATAAACAGTTTTTAACACAGAGTTATTTAGCAAGACATACAAAATTACATACTGCTGAGAAACCATTTGAATGTGGAATTAGTACTAAACAATTTTTAACAAAGAATTATTTTGAATGTGAAATTGGCACTAAACAATTTTCAAGAAAGTCTAATTTAAAACAACATATGATAGGGCATACAGATGAAAAACTATTTGAATGTGAAATTTGTACCAAACAATTTTCAAGAAAGGGTAATTTAAAAGCACATAAGAATGTGCATACTGGTGAAAATCCATTTAAATGTAAATTGTGCAATAAACAGTTTTTAACACAAAATTATTTAGCAAGACATACAAAATTACATACTGCTGATAAACCATTTGAATGTGGAATTTGCACCAAACAATATTCAAGAAAGGTTAGTTTAAAACTACATATGAGACTGCATATCAGTGAAAAACCATTTTAATGTGAAATTTGCACCAAAAAATTCTCAGTATAGCAAATATTACAATTATTTTATGATAGTGCATACCGATGAAAAACCATTTGAATGTGGAATTTACAACAGAGTTTTCAGTGAATTTTTTTTTAAAATTGCATATAAGAGTTCATAATGGTAAAAACCGTTCACATGTAAAATATGCTCAAAACGGTAGTCACACGATCCTAGTTTAAGAACGCATATGCAAACTTCCACTGGTCAGGTCCTATAAAAACTCTATTTTAAAGCTAGCACAAGCGTTACCTTACGCTAACTAACGGAAGTCTAGATCAAGCACACATGGAGAAACAACTGGAAATGTATTGTAAAGGGTGATTCATTTAGAGGCACTTTTTTGGTGGGGATTTGATTGGAGATCGTGCATGAATACTGTCAAACTGACATTTCGATTTTGTTTAGTATTGTTTGACATTTCATGATGAAAAGACTTAGCCCGACATAGCATCTAGAAATTATTAAGTTGTATTTTGAAAATGGGAGTTCTGTGAGGAATGTGTTTCGTGCGCTTAGAGCAATTTATGGTCCACATAATCGGCCTACCCAACGTACAAATTCGCTTTATGATTAGTAAGTTTGAAACCCAATTTTCATTATTGGTCAGTACACGACCAAATAGACCACATTCAGCACGTACTGAAGAATATATAGCGGCAGTAACGGATATTGTACTAATATTACTAACGGATTTGTCGAAAATAATGAAGAATCGATTCTTCGCTGTTCTCAACAGCTTGGCTTGTCATATGCAACAACTTAGCGTATTTTACGTAAGAATCTTGGTTTAAAAGCATACAAAATTCAATAAGTGCAAGAGCTGAAGCCGACCGACTTTCCGAGTCGTCACAGTTTCAGTCGATGGGCTCTTTATAAGCTTTCAGAAGATTTACTATTTTCGAGAAAAATTTTGTGTTCAGATGAGGCCCATTTTTGGCTTAATGGGTACGTTAATAAACAAAATGTCCATATTTGGGGTGATGAATAACCCAAAGAGGTTCAAGAGTTGCTATTACACTCTCAAAAAACAACTGTTTGGTGTGGTTAATGGGCTGGTGGAAACTTTGGTCCATATTTCTTTAAAAACAGAGGCCGGCCAGAATGTTACTATGAATGGAGTCCGATATCGTGCCATGATAACGGACTATTTGGAACCTGAAATTAAAGCTCTTGGTCTCGCGACATGGTTCAACAAGTGTGATGATTCATGTTAATTCTTGTGGAAGGTTAGGACTTTATTTCGGGGATAGAATGCGCCATTTGCCATACAGCCCGTGAAAGCATGGCTTTACTGCGAGAACGATTCGGTGAACAAATTTTTTCACGCTTTGAACCAGTGAATTGGCTGCCTAGATCCTGTGACATCTCACCTCCAGACTCTTTCTTTTGGGGCTACCTAAAGTCCAAAGTTTATATGAATAAACCAGATACGATTGAGGCATTGTTGCCCAATTTTACTCAGAGTCATTGGTGGAATACCAATCAAAATACTGGAACGAGTCTTCGAGAATTGGAACTTCAGAATGAACCAACTTAATCGTAGCCATGGCCAAGATTTAAAAGAAATTATCTTAAAAAGTATTATATAATAATAAATATTTTTAAATAAAATTGATTTTTTTTTCATTGTTTGTTCTTGTTGAAAAAAGTACCTCTAAATGAATCACCCTTTAGAACTCTCGAATGTACGGACATGTAAATCCGCTCTTCGTTATTTAGACAGTTGGTGTGCACTCTAAATTATAAAAAGCAATTGTAAAAATAACGAGAAATAAATAAATTATGTATATATAACGAATCGTGCATTTTAAATTAACGTAACTTTGCCAAGAGTAGACAAAACTAAATATTGATTAACGATGCTAACAAGCATTGTGGCGTATTCTAAATACTACCGAGACACCTTTTAGCGACAAATTACTTTGGAATTTATATTCTTCCAATAGCGCTGCAGCCCTAATCGAGCCTTGTTCATCATAAAAACATCAAACCTTTGATCATAGGACTTTTTTGTACAAGCAACTTCTCTCAAAGAAAATAGTGCTTCTCTAGTGCCAAGCCAATGATAAATCCGAACTGTGTATTCCCACTATAATACTCGCATTTTTTGTATACCCTATACTCATCTTGAGTAATTAGTAGAGCTCACTCGAATATTTTCCCATTGATACAATACGTCACTTTTAACACGTTGCATGCTTAAAGCCTAATGATATGCTATTGATAGGTGCTGAAAGTATTTTTTTTGTGAATCGTTATAACCATGATTGGTTTCTTGTTGACAGAATACATTTAAAAAGATTTTGCTCATTTATTTATTTATCGTATGGCAATTACAACACATTTAGAACAAAATTACAAACACTAGTAATATAGGTATATCACAAACTTTAAATACACCTATACGGCCGCTCTTTATACGGCATTTCGCTATTAGGGCCTTGTTCAATTACGGCACGGTTTCGATTTACGGCCTAAACTGTTTCGCTATAACGGCTTGATTTTGCCATTCTTGCGCAAACGCAATTTTAATGCACACTCTTTCCTATTTCCACTTCCATTTGTTTACTATTCAGTATTCAGTGATCAGTCTCGGCATCTCAGTCTGAGTCTGTACTGTGCTCATAAAGCGGCTGGTTTAGACTTGTCTGTGAGTGTTTTATTTGCATATTTTATTACCGACTATTACACATTAACTGGAAACATTGGAAACAATTAGGGGAATTTTTGGAAAGTAAGTATATAATTTATGTAAAGCTGCGGGCCATTCAATAGCTTAATTAAACCCTTACATATCTAGTAACCATGATTATGGATTTAAAATTTGGAACCTGGAACGTGCGAACCTTCTTAAAGGCAGGAGCTATGATAAAGACAATGGAGAAGAAGGGCACAAGAGAGATCTGAATGGAAGGACATAGCCAGACAGGCAAAGACCCATCCAGGGTTATGATGCCAAAAGAAGAAGATTACCGACTATTACACATTAACTGGAAACATTGGAAATAATTAGGGGAATTTTTGGAAAGTAAGTATATAATTTATGTAAAGCTGCGGCCATTCAAGAGCTTAATTAAACCCTTACATATCTAGTAACCGATTTTTAAACGCACATTTTACGTCAAACTGAAGCTACCAGTGACGGGCCCAGAATAGGTTGGTTAAAATTTAAAAAATCAAAATACATAAATCTATTGTACAAAATAAAACAAAATGTAAATTATAGAAACAAGTTTTTTTTTTGATAACATGAATTATGTTATTAATAACGAAAATAAGAAAGTCTGGGTTAAAAATATCCATTTTGTATTAAATAATGATAAACAGTAACACAATTAACATTGTATTTTCCAATACGCACGAAATTTTTGACATATATATTGACATTTAGCAATTCCGTACGACACTGCGATTTACAGTAGATATTCCAATGTAAAAATAAAGGTTTAAACTATTCAGTAACCGCAGTTTTACAAATTAAAAATTTTTAATATCTATGTGTTTTTTTTTAAACTGATTTGATAATTTCATTATTTTTTTAGACAAAATGCCACCGAAACGATTATCGACTTCAGAGACTGTTAAAAAGAGATTCCGAAAATCAGTCACGCTAGGAACTAAACTAGAAGTATTACGTCGTATAGAAGCTGGAGAGAAAATTTTTGAAATTTGTAAGGCAATGAGACTTGCGAAATCTACCATTCAAACTATTCGCGATAAAAAAGAAGACATTAAAGCACTTTTGCAGTCGGCTGCACCTTTAAATATCTCGAGATTAACACGACAAAGAAACTGGAAACTGGAGTTATTGAGGACAATAACAAACGGAGATTTCCAATGAGTCAAATGACTATCCAGGAAAAAACTATTTTCGAAAATTTGAAGAATGGAGATACCGATAAAACTGCTGAAGATATCTCATTTCAAGCAAGCCGAGGATGGTTTGAAAAATTTAAAAATAGATTTAATTTGCACAATTTGAAAATAAAAGGTGAAGAAGCTAGCGCCGATGAGGCCGCATCTAAGGAATATCCCAACATTTTAAAAGAAATTATTGAAAGAAGTGGTTATAAACCTGAACAAGTGTTTAATGTAGATGAAATAGGACTTTATTGGAAGCGAATGCCTGATCGTACGTACATTTCAAAAACCGAAAAATGTGCGCCTGGTTATAAAGTGTCTAAAGAACGATTAACTTTGCTACTTGGTGCAAATGCCGCTGATGATTTTAAGCTAAAACCAGGTTTAATCTATTTGTCCGAAAATCCAAGGCCTCTTAAAGGACTAAATAAAAATCAATTACCCGTTATATGGAGATCCAATAAGAAAGCTTGGATGACTAAGCTACTTTTGAGGATTGGTTCAAAAATCACTTTTGTACAGAAGTAAAAAAATATTTGCGAGACAATAACTTAAGCAACAAGGCTTTGCTAATTTTGGATAATGCACCAGGGCATCCTACTAATTTATCCGAACCATCGCAAGATGTCAGGATTGAGTATCTTCCGAAAAATACAACCGCTTTGATCCAACCAATGGATCAGGGTGTAATAGCCACTTTTAAGTGAATAATAATCAGTGAATCATGGAAAGAATTAAAATTAACAACAATGAACAATGTTTGGAAAAAAATATGGCCAGGGTATGTAAAAAATACCGATGAAGAAATTAATATCCTTCCCGAAATTAGGCAAAACATTTTGGATCTAGCACATGACTCGGCTTTGAAGGTGTGAACGGTGATGTGCTTGACATACTTGAAGCTGATAGGGAACCCCTTTCATATGACGAACTCATCCAGTTAAAAGCAGAACCAGCAGTTGATGAAGAGACAGAGCCTGTTGTATCGAAACAGCTAACATCAAACAATTTGTCGAAAGCTTTTTCCTATTTCGAACAAGGTATAAACATCCTCCTTGAAAACGACCCTGACGACGAACGTAGCACTAAAGTTTCTCGAGAAATTAACTCTGTCATAAGCTGCTATAAATCACTGAAAAACGAAATAGACAAGAACTCAATACAAACAACGTTGGACAATTTTTTTAAGCCAGGCCCATCCTTACCAGCGAAAAATGATGACGACAGAGATTTGCACGGTAACATTTCTTCATCGTCATCAAATTGAAGCCCTTTTTAAAGAAAATTTGTTTGTATTCGTTATACGGCTTTTCGCTTTACGGGCAAGTGTCGTGGAGCGTATCTAGGCCGTTAAAGCGAGGTATTGGTGTAGTTACAAACAAACATCAAGTGTATTAACTAACATAATCATCCATATGCTAATAGACTCACATGTGCGTCCTTGATTTTTAAATTGCAATAAGTCATTATTGTCAAAAGAAATTTTAATAGAAAACATATTACAATAATAATATTAATAATCACAAATTATTATCATTATGAAACTGTACAAAACAATTTCCAACACAAAGGCCGGAGTTTTCAGGGCATCAGCTGCTCTCAAATATCGTGTCTTTTTTAATTATTCTTTGAATATTCCTTACATCTTTTCCTCTTCATCCGACCTTTACTATCAACATTTAAAATTTTTGAAATATTGTGCTTGTCTGTTGTTTGTATGCTGGAGTAACCAATACTATTTAATAATTTTTTAAAAGATGTCTGATAATTTCTAAACGATATTCATATAAATTAATTTTTCTACCAGTGTATGTAGTCAGCGGCGGCTCGTGGCCTAAAAACGTGGTGAAGACGAGGAAACCTTGCTGGAGCCAAAAGGAGTTTTGGTACCTACGTCGCGCCCAAATCTCATTAAAAATTCGTTAAAAAATGTAGAGTTTAGGGCTCTAATAACTTGAAAACAGTTTTTTAGGGCACTTATACTTTTTTTTTTTTTGGGAGGTGGAATCTTCAAAAGATCGTCTGGGATCAGCTGTCAGCCTTTTACCCAGGTGTGTCGGATTCAATCTCTCACGCTTCACCGCGTGACGGGACCGCCTAAACCACCCCCTCTTTCTCCGACCAACGGGCCCGGGACCGCTCTTAGCAAGCATATCTGGCCCGTCAGCCTTACTTTTAACTTCCCTCTGGCACTTTTCGCGTGCATTACATGGATTTGACGGCCTCCCTCACCCGCATAAGGCTCGGGCGAGACTAGCTGGTGAAGCTACCGTCCTGCTCATAGAGAAATAAAAATAACTTATTTTTATTTCTCTATGGTCCTGCTCAATCCTTATCACGGTGTTCAATGTACCATGAATCCTTATGCCGGCGAGACAGCCTGGTTGCCCCCCCCCCCCTTCCACATTGGAACTAACGAGTAGAACCAGTTGGCAATTAACAGTAACACCATTCATTCGTACTTCCATCAATTCAGTCCCGCATTCATACCTTCATTCACTAATTTTTGGGGTATCTGGACATCCGACGGGATTGGATGTACTAAGTCTTAAAAGATGTAAAAGATGATAAAGACTATGTAAAAAGTCTTTTCCCGTCCCATGTCCCGCGGCCCTTACCATGGAATAAAATAAATAAATTAATAAATAAAATAGGTAAAAAAAAAGTTAAAAGTAATGTAGGTAAAATAAAAATAAAAAATAGCTAAAATTGGTATAGATAAAAATATAGTAAAAACGAAAGTAACTTGAATAAATAAAACACAATAAACTAAGTAAATAAATAACACACATTTTAAAAAACGATAAATAAATATAGCGGTCAGTCCACCTGCAGCCGCCTCTCTTTCTCTTCCTTGTGCTTTATGGTTTTTGTGACAAAAGCAATGATCAGTTCGAAATCGTGCTTGCTGTCGATGGCTTTATCGATCAGCCCGTGAGGCTCGCCTGGTGGAGATCCCAGGCTCAGCTGCAGTTCGTTTCGCCCCGTGTGGTATGCAGGGCAGTCGAACACAACATGCCGCGCATCATCCACCACTCCACACTCAGGACACAGATCGTCTCCAGACCTCCCGATTCTAGGGGTGTATTTCCGAAACGATCCATGTCCCGTCAGAAACTGCGTGAAGTAGTAGTTGACGCGCCGATGTTGACACCCATACCACCTCACTACATCCGGGACCAGGGACCTCGTCCAGGCCGCCTTTTCGACTTCGGCTGCCCATTCCCTCTGCCACATCTCCAAGCTTCTGGCTCTTTTTTGTGACCCTGAACCAACCGCCCCGTTGCCCTTCGGATACATTCGAGCTCTCTCCCTGGCCAGGATGTGCACGGGTACAGAACCAGCCACCACCTGTAAGGCAATGGTAGATATAGTTCTGTACGCGCTGCACATCCTGATCAGAGGTTTTCTTTGAGCCCTAGAGAGTATGTCCTTATATTTCTTCATCTGGAGAACCTCATGCCACACGGGGGCCCCGTATAAAATTATCGATAATATTGATTGTAACATAACTGATCTCTTCTGACTACCGCGTACATACCTAAATCTTGTATGTCCTTGTTGGGAAAGAGGAGTTCAGCTGTTATCCTCTGGTCTTCGTCGAGTCTATATGGGGCTATTAGATTTAAGGTCTTCATTGTGATTTTGTATGCATCACCCCATATATCCTCGTCGAGTGCTTTTATCAGAGTCTGCCACTTTTCTTTTTTCTCTTTTTTTATTGTATTAATATTTTCTTCAAATCCTTGTATGTTCCTTTAAACTCGAGGTTGCCCTGGCTTCTCGTATAATTCCTTCGAGTTCTGAGGCATCTCTCCCGTAGATCTTCTATCTTATGTGTCCACCAATAGGGGGATTTTTTTCCATTTTTCTTCTTCTTGGTAGCCAATTTTGCCGCATTTTGTAGAGCTGTTCGAAGTTGGCCGAGGTCAGAAATCTCATCTTCACTTATTTTTCTGACCTCCGATAGGTACTTGTTTTTGTTGAAATATGATTTTGCCGTACCTATCGACCGCTTTATCCCCCCTTTAACCTTTACCTCAAATTGTATATATCGGTCATGGTATATGAAGAGCTGATCGTCGAGTACATCCCACCCGTACACCTTCCTGGATAGCCCTGGATATATTCGCGTCTTATATTAAAATTAAAATTCTTATAGACTAGGATAAAAAAATAAATAAGTATAGATAAAATCAGTGTATAAATAAAAGTTTTATAAATATATGTATAAATGAAATAAGATAGATAAAATATATAAATAAAATAAGAAATGTGTGTATATATAAAAATTTTAAATAAATAACGTATATGAATAATGTAAATATAATAGATTGCATTTAATAAATAACGTGGGTATAATGTTATAATACTAGGATGCCTTTATCCATGAAAAGCTGAGAGAGATGGCTTCCTGTCCCGCCGGTGGGCTGTATAGGGGCCCACTCGCGTTCTCCAGGGAGCCACCTCTCGCTTTTTTGCTTTTCTTGTTACATTTACCCACCCTTTAGGGGTTTCCTGTCTCCTCCCCTGCCATACACCCACCCTCTGTAGGCTGGGCACTGCATCCTATCCATTCTATGGCCTTCTTCATTACAGGTGAGGCAATATGAAGTGCTGTCGCACTGCACTGCTGTGTGTCCTGATTTTAAGCAGTTGTAGCAGCACGCTGCCCTGCTCTCACCTTTGCACTCATATGCGCTGTGGCCATAGTGAAGGCACTTGTAGCACCTTGTTGGGGTATATCTTTCACTGATATGACATGATACCCAGCCTATAATTATGGAGCTGTATCTCCTCAGTTCTTCAGCTCTTGAGGGGCGTACGGCTACGGTCGCCACCTGCTCCCCATGTTTACTTATTCTTAGCGTCTTTATATAAATTTCGTTTGTGGATATTCCTGTGTACATTTTTATGGCACTTTGTAGTCGTTCCTCCGTCACCCCTGGATCCAAACCTGTTATGTTAAAGAAACATTCTTTGCGTCGGATTGCCATATTTATCCCTGTCATCCTTGTATCTATTTCATTTCGTAATTTTTCTGCGGTTCCCCTGCCCTTTAGTTTTACTAGGATATCCCCTCGTTCTGTTTTTTTGAGCCTATCTACTTTAACCCCTATCTTTCCGATATTAATTTTTTGGTTCATTTCCTTCAATACTTCCGTGTACGATTTGCCACCCGTTTTGATTAGGAGGGCTTCCTCTTGCTGGTTCTTTACGCCTTTATCCATGTCTTTACCTCTTACTTGGATTTCCCATACGATGTTTTCTGCCCGGCCTACAAACTCCAGGGCTTTCCGTACCTCATCTTTGTTTATATCATTATTGATTATCACCCTTATTGTTTCAGGTGACTCTTTCCTTTCCTTATACGTTTGATAGCCTTCTCGGCCATTTCATACATACCTTGTATGTGTACCATTTCCTTCTTTGGCTGGCTATGGAACTTTCATTCCCGTTCTTTATATAGTCCACATTTCCTTCTTCGCAGACCTCTGTTAGTTCATGAACTCGTCTCCTACCCCCCCCCCCCCATCGTTTTTTTAATAGTTTGACAAAATGATCGTACTCTTGCATCTACATCGGCTAGACGTATGCCAACAATTACAGAGACAAGTCTAATTCAAAATTAATCAGTGTAATTATTGAAGACTGGGAAAAATTAAAAGAGGTTTTTGATAATATAATGAATTCTGAAGAGTCAGACCGCAAATCAGTTCAGCTGGCTAAAGGATTTTTAAGAGATTTAAATGATTTTGAGTTCACATTTTTAGCAACAGTTTTTAGCGACATTTTTCATATAACAGATATTTTATATGATGTTCTTCAAAAAAGTCCCTAGATATTAATTTTTGTTTAAACTAGATAAGGAGAACTCGTCAATTAATAAGTGATAACAGAAATGAAGAATTTTTTAATTCTATTTTTGAAAAAGCAAGCACAATGACGGTCAATAATACTTCCAAATGGTTTAGGTGTGATGATGGTATGAGCAAGAATGCAATTACTACTCAATACAGAGCATTATTTGTTGAAATATATGATCATATTTTAATGGAAATGGATACACGTTTTCAGGATTGTGATAAATTAAAATTCGTAAGTTTAGCAGATACAACAAAATTTGAGTCATACAGTTTGACATTCCCTTCCGACGCTTTTCAAAATTTATTTGAGTTTTATGGCACACAATTTACTAAACATCAAAAACTTAAAAGTGAGCTCTGCCTTCTTTATGCCGACGAAAATTACAAAAATGTGAATTTG